TCCCCATTACCCCTACGTGTACTCCCTTCCCCATTACCCCTACGTGTACTCCCTTCCCCATTAACCCACTCCCAGTACTCGTCCATTCATTTCACCCCAGCTGCTAGTGAAAGTTCTCTTCCGTTACCAACCAACCTATCGCTGACTTGCACGGTACAATATGAAGGTAAGTCTTCCTTCATTACTGACCGATGATAAATATTGTCGGCCTTAACTCTCACTAGGCACGTGCTGGGACCTGGAGTAGGGTTTCCTGTTTTAGAGGTTTCTTAGCATCCCGGGATTCTGGGACAAACCAGGATATTTCCCAGAATCCCGGGATTTCCCGCATCAGGTGATATTTGTACTAACTAATGCTATATGCTAACCCTAGTATCTGTAGATTATTTGATAGGCAATTGATTTGATAAATTATATTACACTGAAGCAAATTTCTCTTTATTAACTTGCATACTGGTGTAAAAATAGGTACATAATATGATTAAACAAGCAAAATTTTAATTAATCTCATTCCGTTAGCCATAAAAGAAACTCATAGACATTTGGAATGGCATTCAAAGTTAGCTATTATAAAAAAATAAGAATTCTATATTTAATGTCATTTGGAAGCCATATTCTACAAAAACCTAAAGCGAACACTTGAATGACCTGTGAAAAAAATAATAGCATAAAATCATTTGTGCACACAAGCCACACAGTCACGCACACATCAAAAGTTGTTCATGAAATAACTCTTCAAGAAGCACAAACAGTCAATCTCTGGAGGTTTGGAAGTGTGAATGTTATGCTGCTCACACTTACGTTTCGTCACAAAACACAAACAAACAAACAAACAAAAATCATACTTTTTTGTGTTTGTTCAAACTAATAAACATGTTTGTTTACACTAATGGACCGTATTTGCTCATGCTAATACGGTTTGTTTACACTAATGAACTGTTTGTTCAAGTAACAGACTGTTTTTCACATTAAGAAAATAGTTCTTCACACTAAAAAATCTATACTAATGAGCCAAATGTAGTACGTCTGGACTCGAGTGTGATAAGTGATAACCAACGCATACCTTCACACTAAAGCCACTGGCCTCACACTTCTTTATAATTAGACACGAACAGTGAAAGTGAAGGTACGTCCTATCCTATTGACCTGCCGTATACGATTGGGTCCTGGTGGATATGCCACACTGTATATTAATTCTTTAGTAAAATCGCCTGCACTTATACCTGGTATACTGCCTGGGGCATTTTGCGAGATGTGGCACCTCTGTGTTTGTTTACATCGTATTGAAACTCCCGGAATGGCTCTAGCAAACCTCGCAATAGTAGCTAAACTCAGGACAGAGTTGCCACATCTTCCAAAACGCACCAACCACTGTACCAGGTAAAGTGCAGGCGACTGTAACGTAAGGAGGTATACAGTAGCCAGCAATGTAATCGACAGCCTTCACTTACCCCCAATGGCAAAGTTATGTACCAGTATGACAGCTGGATGCACCCTGGTTCGAACCAGGGATGCTTAAGAGGAAGCAAAAGCTATATCCATCTGGCCACTGCATACCAATGCAACAGTAGGAATATTATAAACAATAGACACAAAACAACAGTAAACAAGTGAACGTCAAAAACTAAAGGGGATTAACTTAGGTAACAAAACAGTAACGACAAAGCCAACAACGGGAATAAAAAAAGCAAATAACAGAAACACCACAATGGGAAATCAACAGAATCTCATCAACAGATACGACAACAGAAGCGCTCCTCCATCACCAACAGAACAACAACCCAACATACACACAAACAGCGGCTGCCGTGTGAACATTACCAAGCAAAACACCTCTATTGATGAGGTCTGGGGGGAGGAGGCGGGGATACTGGCCCTACACTTCCCCAAGCCAAGAGAGAAAGGTATAGACGTGGGAAGGGGCGTATACATTGCACCACAGTATGTAGGACGTCTTCAGCACCCCCTGGTAAAATTTGATTCCCCGCTGTACTAAGGTAAACACACAGATGACAATATAAAGAGAACATGATAATGTGATAGGATAGGATAGGTTACCATAGGTTATATTGGGTTATGTTAGGTAAGGGCAACGTTAGGATGATTAATCTTAAGGTGAAATAAACTGGGAGCTAATCCTGACGTGAAGTTTCATCTTTCAATACATTCTCTGGCTCACAAACATACTGTATATGCATTCATTATAGTGGAGGGAAATTTCAGGATAATGGCTCCCTCGTTTTGGCATGGTAAGAAGCCCAGCCTATCATTCTGACAATCACTCCTCCTTTCACCTTCCCGGGAGAGTGAGAGGTATTGCAAGGCCATCATTTGCCACTCGACGCACGAGAGAGTATGGGGATGCCAGTGTAATTTCCTGCTGCCACTCCATCACTAGGTAGCGACTGAGAAAAGTGATAATTATTTACCTGTCGGGAATTTTTTTTTAAACTTTGACATTAATACTTGGGTGTAAAAAAAAATATTGAATTTCGGACTAGTGACTGTGTGCATAACGTGGGAAAATGCTAGAAGGAAAATGCCCTTAGATAAAATATTACTTTTGAAAGAAGCAACAATAAGTGATGACTTAATGAGGTGTATTGTTTACGATATAAACATTTCAAGTTAAAAACATTTCATCATATAACACTCGATATTCTTTAACAATCTCTATCACCAAGAATACAAGGAAAAGGTCAACGAAATTTAATGAAAACCCCAAAACTATAGTGGCCAGCCTCCAGTGTTGCAGTGTACGGCGATATAAGAGAATAATACGGTAAATTAAACTATTCTGGGACAATATAAACAACTCTACCTGATGAAGCCCAGCAGCTGTGACCGAGACTAATGTTCTACACTGTGATACAAGGTAAGAACCAAACAACAACAATAACAATAAAACAGTGCACATAAATTCACCCAAAATATATAACTTAAACACAAATGAGATGAACTTCTACCTTAATTCCTAAACGGCTCTTTTCTTGTCTAGATAGAGAATGGGGGTTTGAAGATCGTCAAAGGTGTGTGTACCCCGGGTCGGCGATGCACCCCGAGTGAGACGCGAACCACCTACATTAAGCTTGGAGGTGTAAAAATGAGCGGACCATTAGTGGTACTAGTGCTGGTGTTACCCGTTTAATATGTGTATCTGCCACACCGAGATGAGGTGTGGTGAACGGGTTCCTTGTGAAACACCGGTGGGTAATGCAGGTAGTTCGCCACCCACTCGGGATAGATAGATAGATAGATAAATAGATAGATAGATAAATAGATAGATAGATAGATAAGATTGATAGATAAGTTTATTGACCACAGAAATATGCAAATTACATAGATACAAACTTATAAGACATCAAATAAAAACTGTATAAGCTTAATGGTCCACAAAGAATATAAGACCAAAACCAGACCATTTACACTTAGACAAAATCTTACAAAGAGTTTCACAGACAGAACTTGAGCTTTTAGAAGTAGACGGTAAGTGTAAACAAGGCCCACACAAACCGGGTCATGAGGAAAGACTCAACCACTACGACCAGTTCCTTTTGCACGACCTCACAGGGACACAGCCGCTCCTCAACCGGTAGGCGATCTTGACCCCCACTTATTCCATCTGCCCGTCTCCACACACACAGGGGCCTGGTGTACAGGGCATTATAGAAGGCCGTTGAAACACGTAAATGAACTTAAACAACAGAAGGTAACCCAGCATAATACAACGGATTCACGTAACAGAAACAACAACAGTGCATGAGTGATTAGAGTAAAAGTGAAGTTAATTTGTATCTGTAACTCAAACACCTTAAGCACCTAACCTAAGCCAAAACAGCTTGACTTAACCTAACTCAACTCGCCTCAAGCCAAACCAGTACTGTGACTAGCTGGAGGTACCCGGCGTTGTCTGAGTCCTAGAATTAATAGGGAAGCTCATATATCCGACTGTGGCCAAAATTATGTGCACATGAAATAAAAATAATAATAAAATTCAGCTTCCTATCTTAATAACAGTGGCCGTACATAACAGAGGCAAATAAAAATATGTGTATTTTTAACGAGGGGGTTGTGCTTTGAGGTGAGGGGGAGGGAAGGGGAGGGGAACCACTGGAATCAAGGGCCTAAAAATTCCACCACCTTCATAGCACTTCCAGGAGAGCTACGACACGTGACGCACTGCAGTGATTCTCGATTTTTTTTTTTACAATAAATATTCCCGGTCACTGAAACTGTAAGAATGCACTGAACTGGTTGACTAATAAGCTGAAACACAACGACTAAATAATGCTGTCTAGTATAAAGTGATGGTGTCTGACTGAACTAAATCAACTAATCTATGTTGGGCTTCCTGTATGATTACTATTCCTGTTTCGCTTCTTCTCTCACAATCTTTTTTTAAAGGCTATTTACCTGCTCTTAATGGCGTTTGGGTTATATTATGAATACTTTAACAATATAGTTTTAGGTTTGTAGATCAATGGTGGTAGTGGCAATTTCCCATCTACATGTAAAAAAAAATCATCTGTCTTCAAAAATGCATAGCTAACAAAACGATTAGACACCGTGCTTTATAATACAGTATATAGATGAAACTTCTGAACCCATTAACACTTTAAGGACCTGTTTATCATCCTACATAAGGTAAACAAGTAACACAGGACAGTTAGATTGGTGATATTTCTGGAACTGCTCACAGAATACCCAAGGCAAATGAGTCACCTTCTCAAAAAAAAAAAAAAAAAAATAAATAAATAAATGCATCTATAAAACTTCTCGGCGCTGTTACGTCAGACTGCGGCACTCATCATCTTCCCCACCAGCGCCGCCGTCAGTCGTCGAGGTTATACAATTAATACTAGACCTCAACAACTAAGGTCTTAAGAGCCGTAAAAGGGTCAGTAATTACACTATAGTTCATCAGCAATTAAAAATTATGATTGGGATAATTCTGCCAATGAGGGAAGGACAAAACGTATGGTGGGGCGGGTCAGGGAAGACTCATGCGGCATGCCTACCCCTCCCTACAGTGTGTGTTCGACCACGCCACGAGACGGACGCACATGTGAGTACAATACACCACTTCTGACTTAAGGCTTCCCAAGTGGCTCATTTAAGCTATGGTATATACATTAATAGCGTCACTATTCCTTTAAGACCACTGTAACTACAAACGTTCTTTTATCTTATTACGGGGGAAAATAACACGACTTTTTGAGAAGAAAGTAAAAATATGTTCTGAGAAAACGAGCCATTGATACTCACAAGATTATTAGTCACATGTGAGGGTGAAATTGCGGTTCAAAGAAGGAAAATATTCAAGTAATGTTATAGATAAGAGTGAGTAAATATATACAGGATTTATTGTCTTACTACAGCTGACCGGACTGAGTGTATCTTGCCATCTGGCTGGTTTAAATTGTTCTTAATGCCGAGATAACAACAAAGAAGCTTTAACAGAGTCTCCGAATTTATGTACATACATTGATTACTTAACCACCTTCAGGACGATGACTTCAGTATAATGGTTTAACCTCTTCAGTACGACTTAACCCCTTCAGTATAATGGTTTAACCTCTTCAGTACGATGACTTAACCCCTTCAGTATAATGGTTTAACCCCTTCAGTAAGATGACTTAACCCCTTCAGTATAATGGTTTAACCTCTTCAGTAAGATGACTTAGGTTAGGACGCCTCTGACCACACAAGGAAGAGGTGTTGGTGTTCAGGAGGAATGGTCAAGGTTATTGTTTTTGTGATTTTTTTTTTAGTATCAGGGAAAAAGTTCAGTGATTTTCGTTTTTTACACAGACAAAGACAGACAGGCACAGACAAAGACAGACACACACAGACAAAGACAGACACAGACACCATCAACATTCGAAGCACGTTATACAGTATGTAACCTCTCCCCCCAAAAGTTCAAAAGATTATAGTATATACATTGTTTCCTTCCTCCAATACACAACACAAACATTTACATATGAATGAATCCGAGGAACATATGAATGAATCCGAGGCACAGTTTGTGACGCCACACTACACCCCCCCCCCTCACACACACGTACAGGGAGCGGATCTTCCCAGTTTTGGACGATTCTGGGAAACTTTGGAACAGTTGGCAAGCCTGGAGAGCACTGATCCTTGTTTTAAGACACCCACTAGGAGGACAGTACGTATACCAGCTATTTCAAGACACCCACTAGGAGGACATTACGTATACCAGCTATTTTTGACACCCACTAGGAGGACAGTACGTATACCAGCTATTTCAAGACACCCACTAGGAGGACATTACGTATACCATCTATTTTTGACACCCACTAGGAGGACAGTACGTATACCAGCTATTTCAAGACACCCACTAGGAGGACAGTACATATACCAGCTATTTCAAGACACCCACTAGGAGGACAGTACGTATACCAGCTATTTCAAGACACCCACTAGGAGGACAGTACGTATACCAGCTATTTCAAGACACCCACTAGGAGGACAGTACGTATACCAGCTATTTCAAGACACCCACAGACCCAAGCGATGATTCAGGCTACAAGCAGGATCTGTTGCACCACAATACCAACAATGGAAGAAAAAAAAAATCAAATAGCGAAAGAAAATGACCAAAAAAAAAAACCTTAAAACCTAACCTAACAGGACGTGTGACCTTGGGAGAGACAGTGACGGACAGCTTGAAACATAAAAGATGAAACTGAACAACCATAGAATTGATGATGATGATGCTGATAATAATAATAATAATAATAATAATAATAATAATAATAATAATAATAAGCCTGCACCATTAAATATTTGTGGGCTATCGGAAAATACGAGACACCCCAGCTTATTTTACCTAACCTAATCTAACATAACCTAACCTAACCCAACCCAATCTTACCTAACGTAGCATACCTAACTTAACTTCATCCCATCAGGCAAGCATCAGGGTGTTTAATCATCAGGTGAAATGTACTGGGGTGCCTAATCCTCAAGTGACCATTAATTATCTTTGAGGTGTAGGATGGCAAGGGAAAGAATCAAAAGAGCTTGGAAGAGATAAACATGAATTGCAACACACACACAGGGTCAAAATTAAAACGCTCTACCACCCCCATTGACTTACCAATGAAACTATTCAAGGAGTTCTCCCCGGAGCTTGCTAAACCCCTCTGCTCCATCATCAATGCTTCTCTCAGTCAAGCCAGATGCCCAGCTGACTGGAAGACCTCTTATGTATCACCAGTGCCCAAGTCAACCAGCCCACAATCCTTAAATCAGCTACGACCTATTGCAATCACCCCAATACCCAGCCTAATCTGTGAAAGTTTTGTGTTTGACTGGGCTTATGCTGATATTGCAGGAGTCGTAGACCCTCAGCAATTTGGCAACATGAAAACTTCCTCCACCACTCACTGTCTTGTCAGCTTTCTCGATTACATATACCGCCATCTCGAGAAACGAAAAACGTCTGTAGCTGTCGCCTTCATTGATTTCACTAAAGCGTTCGACCTAGTCGACCACAATATAATCATAAACAAAGCTATTGACCTCGGGCTTCGGAGAAGTCTCATACCATGGCTTACAGACTTCCTCAGTGACCGACGCCAAGCTGTACGCTTCCGAGGGGCTGTCTCCACCTTTCAGTCACTCACCTGTGGCGTCCCCCAGGCACCAAGATGGGACCACTCTGCTTCCTTATGCTCATCAATGATGCCCTAAGAGAAACCCCTGCTCGCTGGAAATATGTCGACGACTCCACCATTGGGATCAGCGTCAACAATTCTGCTCCCAACTATACCGCCCTTCAGGATTTATTGAACAGTCTCCAAAACTGGGCCACCAACAACCATGTCACCATCAACCATACCAAGACCATGGTTATGCACATCAACCTCTCCTCCGACATTGTCCCACCTCCCTCCATTACCCTAGGTCCGAACACACTCCAGGTTGTAGATTCCACGAAGCTCCTCGGCGTCACCATAGACAACAAACTAAATTGGAAACCACACGTCAGTGAAGTTGTCAAATCCTCCAGTTTCCGTCTCCACCTCCTCCGCCGACTCAAGTCCCTCGGAGTTCCCGCACACGAGCTCCTCAGTGTATACACAACATTCATACTTCCCAAGCTCACCTATGCCTCCCCCACCTGGTCTTCCTCCCTAAATGCCACACAACGTAAACACCTAGAAAAAGTGCAAAAGAGGGCATGCAAGATTATTCTCTCCCCTTCCTACTCCACATATCAAGAAGCGCTCAACACACTGACCCTTTCGACTCTCACTGACCATCACCACGGCCTCATCTGCAAATTTGGTAAGAAGCTTCTACACCATCCCCGACACCGGCCCCTACTACCACCTGAGATCCCCTGTCCGAGAATTGCTGTTCGACACCACAACCGCATCCAGCCCATACGTGCACGAACTGATCGCTATAAGAACAGCCCAGTCCCAACCATTGTAAAAATTATCAATAACATGTAATAAATCAGTGTATTCACTCCCAGTAAACACTGCTCCCTACACTGTCACTATGTTGAAATGAACTGTAGTTTGAGCTGATCCCCATCTAAGTTACTATATGTCTTATTTGTGTCACTTATGTCACTTGTATATTATTTGTAATTCGTAACCCATTCCCCAAATATGTAACTGTATATTTTCAGCCTTCTGGCTGCCAAGCTCTTTCAATAAACCGTTAATTATTATTATTATTATTATTATTATTAAAAGAACATTCTGAAGGATATCAAAAGGTCAAAAAAATCTTGTCCTCAAACTACATGACATACAAACTCGTGAAATGAGTCGTCGAAATCACCCTGATGTAACCTAAATGACTTGAGCCATAACCGTTCTTCAGATACACCGTGACCTTAACCTCTGACCTACCTCTTGCCATGTGTCTTTTTTGACCTAAGTTACAATAACCTAACATGGGATTTTATTACTGGTGAGAACATGACCTTGAATACTGAAAGAAATGTCGGCATCATAATCACCACCACCACTATCACCATCACCATCACCGACTCTCTCAGCATGACTCTTCAATACACTTACCCTTCATTGAACTTGACACGTAGACCAGAATTCATTTAAATATACACTACATACATCACCATAAATATTATACAACTCAACTGTATTTTCCTTCACTCATTAATAGTTCCTTCAAATGTGTTTTAAAAACGTTTTCCTATAAATTTTGTAGAAAACTAAACAGGAAATCAAGGGACAATATCCCGACGGGAACTTGACGATGCAGGTGGAATCTTCTCCCACTGGTATTTCCGAGTTATGTTAACCGCCTGTACTCTCTAACCTGTCTGACTGGTGGGCTGAGAGAGAGAGAGAGAGAGAGAGAGAGAGAGCCAACCTTATCATCGAGGACCATAGAAAAAAAACCCACAATAACTCCAACTATTAAAACATTCACAGCAAAATACGAATCAATGTAACCAAAACAAACAAACAAACAAACCACAATAATGAATAAATGCCCATAGTTAAAGCCTTAGAGGCGTAGTCCTATAACCTTGACGAGTGGTTAAAGCCGCCACTGAGAGGTTATTGTCTAGTTATTTTCATCAGCGTTGATTAAGAGAGAACCAAGTCAGTAGCCTCACTCCCGCTGATACCCAGCCTGTGGCAGTACCCTGATGGTGCTGGACTCCCATTGAGTACGAGTCTAACCCTTGAGTACGATTCTAATCCTTGAGTGCGATTCTAAACCTTGAGTGCGATTCTAACCCTTGAGTACGATTCTAACCCTCGAGTACGAATTTAATCCTTGAGTACGATTCCAATCCTTGGCTTACGATTCTAACCTATGAATACATTAGGATCAGATAAAGATTAGACCTCGTTACTTGATCGATTAGATAAACACCATAACGCTAACCTAATCTAATCTAATCCAGGTCGCATTACGATGTTGAATAATAAGGTGAAATAATCTAGGGTGTCTAATATTCACGTGATCCATTCACTGATTTATCCCCAGTTACCCTTGTGAGCACAATGGCGTAATTCCTTTATAATGACTTAAAATCCTTTGTGTGTGATGCCTTAATCCTTTGAATACGATGACTAATGTGGGGGTGCTGGTGGTAGAGTGGTACCGCTCTTGCCTTCGCAAGTGAGATGTCACGGGTTCGATTCCCGGGCCAGTGGAAGATGTTTGGACATACTTCCTAGCCCCCATTAGTCCCTGTTCACCTAGCAGTAAAGTAGGTACCTGTTGTAAATCGAAAGATGCGAATTCGAATTCAGGGACAAGTTGTTGGAGCTTCCAATAACTTGATGACATAAACCATTGACTCTTCAGGCTTCTATGCCCTTGACTCTTCGCTTCTACGCCCTTAACTCATGAGACATAAAGGCAAGCATGAACCTAGCATGCTTCCCTGTTGGACACTGTAAACGCGTCTGCGCTTCACCTTACACAAAGATGTAGGGGTGCCCAATAAAAAAAACAAAAAAACTAATGTCCACTGAGCACAATGATATTGTATTAAAAAAGGCTCAGTCATCATACTTACGTTAATAACCAACGTCGGCTTGTTTTTGTTTCGAATTAATTGAAGGTTTTCGAGTACTTGTGCCTTGTTTATATAAAGCAAAGTGCATAAGTTTTTTTTTTTTATCGAACGCTCTTGTCTTGTTTATTCAGCTCTTATTACTATACTACCTGGCTACATGTCTACAGTATTTACCAAGGAAGGAGTCATGTATGTGATTATTTTTCTCTATCGTGACACACTTACATAATATACGATGACCTGCCCTGATCTTGTTTCAGTTATACCACCCTTTTGAAGCTCTGGAGAGATCTCGAAGTTTCGATATTTTGAGTACAGCACTAGCTAATAATTCCCACCAGGAAACTTGTTTCGAGACTCCTCCAGAGCTTCGAAAAGTGCAGAATTCCATGAGTTAAAGGCGATATTGCTGAAGAAAGACCAGGGCAAGAAGGTCATCGTAAATGGCGCCGTACACCCCATAACCGTTCTTGTAATTGGCCCTTAAGCCTATCCTACGTAGTTAATATGAAAGAAACCAAGAATCCAGTTTCGTATCACCGAGCGGATGTTGATTGTGTGGGTAATTGAACTGTGAATCATTACTCGACTGTGGACGGGTAGTATTTCACCACCGTTGAAAGAGACTATTCTAACTGAACGTTCGTCTTCCAAGTAACTGTTCCGACATACGTTTAATACTATCTGCTATGTTTATTTCTATGTATTTATTAATCTATTACTACTTTTAATTACGGTTCATAATTCATTTACTTATTATTATATTATTACGTTATATTTTTTTTTTCGAGTGAATATGTAAGGAACAATCGTTAGCGTGAGAGAACGACGAATAGTGTACAGACACACGCTGGAGATTACCCAACACCACGTTAGAACCTTGTTGGGATATACTAAAAACTGGCTGAGAAGAACAAGAAGAAGCCACATTTATTTATTTCCTTCCATAACTGCGCCATCAAGTATAATAGCAACTTTGGTATACTTTTGACCCTCACTCACTCACTCGCTTACGGAATCTAATAACTTCTGTAATAATTTTTAAGTTCTTCTCCAAGTACAAAAGTAAGTCATGTGTCTTAAGTACAAATCGTTACTGTATTATTGTTCTGAAATCATAATATATATTGAACTGTTACCTATAGTTATAAAATTGTAAACTTAATTTGTATCTGTACTTATGCTATAGTTTCAGGGATGGTCAAATTAAAGGTAATGTTATCAGTAGTAAGAGTAAACAGGTTGCCATGACCCCAGCAGCGAGAGTCGGCTGTGTATGTTCCCACACTTAGCTAAGACCCGCTGTCTCCTATCACCAACACCTGCTGCTTCCCCACTTCGCTAAACAAGGTCATATAAAATGAAGCTGAAGAACTATTAAATAATGTCAAAGGCGACCTTACCGGAATTCATGAAAACAACCACATATATACTACTACAATAATAATAATAATAATAATAATAATAATAATAATAACAACACTAATAGAAAAATAAAGACACATTGAAAGTTTGGTCCTAAGCAGTTTCACAACACAGTGTGGGACTGAAAAATCTTATCAAGATACAACAATCACAGGATATGAAGCCTCACGAGCAAATTCCACGTTAAAAACTAACCACACTGGTTAATGCAATATTCACACCTCAATACTTAATCATAACGAGAATGTTGAATGTTTGTCTTTCTTTTCACGTCGTCGGACCAGAAAACAGGTTCCATCTACAGTATTTCTTAATGTTCGGTACATCGGCACCCAATGAGTTGTTTTGTACTTCTAACAGTGGCCCCTTGTGGAAACTTTCCACAAACATTTAGAGAACTACATATATTGGCTAAATTCTGCGGCCTGGAGATCAATACATGAAACATTTCTCACCATTTCCACTTGCTTGATGAGTTACCCCTTAACCTATAGGACACAAAACACTTCAAACGTGCAATAGCTTTTCCCTTGTACAGAGTTAACTCCGGCAATGGAAGGGAAAGGGCTAGGGAGAATCAGAACGCCAGAAAAATTAGTCAGTTCAGCTATTCCACCAAAAGATCAACCACCCTAACGCTATCCTAACCTAATTTCTTCAAGTAACGATAGTGTGTTTAATCATTAAGTGGAATAAGCTGAGAGGGAACAACCTGAATCCAAGGAATCATATGGGAACCGCCAACTGGCTGGGACTTAGGGTGAAGATTACAGACTACTGATCTTTAGAAACCCCTGAAGATTAACATAATGCTAAGTTAACCTAACCTAACACTCCAGGAGAGCTTTAGGATGTTTAATCGTCAGGTGAAATAAACTGAGGGTGGACCGCTAATAATTTAAGTGATTCAAATTTTGTGGATTTTTTGGGGGGTTAATATCCATACGCCCTCTGTCTTTCGTAAAAAACCCCACACATTAATAGATAAAACTCAAGCTTGTGTAGAAGGCAAACTTCCTCCACGGAGAGGGAGTCTGCTCTCACGCTACCTAGCCCCCCCCCCCCAAGCAAGCATTAAAGAAACATAAGAGTATTCTAGCACACGTGACGGAATTAGTGTCATTTGCTATTGTTTACATACGATACGGAAGGAAGAACAGACAAAAATAAAAATAATCTTATTTATACCATCACTAATACAAAACCAGCCCTAAGTAAATTAGTAATTATAAACATTCTAAATAAGTGAGAATTAATTTTATGACTGTTTACAGAATGCGGTGTTTGTTGCTGGTGTGTGCGTTGGCGGCGGGGGTGTGGGGGAACGTTCCCGACAACCGCCTTGATCCCTCCCTCTACAACATCGGCATCGGTATCCATGACGCTACTGGGCCTGCTGCCGGGGTCAACATGGTAATTTACAACTTCTTCATAACCACAATTATTCATAACATTTAGGGAATCAATCTAGTAGTTATTATTCATATGCACAATTATTCATAACCTTTAGGGAATCATTCTAGTAGTTCTTATTCATATGTCATAATAACATTGAGTGAATTATTGTCATCATCCCATTAGCAACAGTACTTACTGATTTTCCATTTTATTTTAATTGTTATGGTAATCTAGCAAATCAATCAAAATTAACGAGTATTTCATTCGTCAGCTGAAGTAATAATATTAGTTCAGTTGACGAAGTTAAAGCTGAATGTAGAAAATGGAAATATCTTCCACTGAAAGAAACCGTGAACACAGCCCATATTTTGCAGCGATAACTCAACTATTTTAAAGACACCCTTGTTATATTTCGTCCTATACGTATATCATACGACAACTGCGACACACATACTGTACATACTGCATAATGCTTGTCTTATATATCCTTACTTGCTAAGAAAAAGCAAAAAATAACACGCACTTACTGGTAAAGTATTAGTTGATGTGTACTGACTTCAACACTCGCCCTCAAACCCTGAAAAAATAAAAGAATAAAATTAATTTCCTTGAATAATAATCGAATTAGTCATTGATTAAAAAAATATAATAGTACATGCACAAAAGGACGCTCACAAACCTGCAAACATTAAAAACAAACATACTTTACTAACATAGTCTACACGCACACAAGGACGCTCACAAACCTGCATACCTAAAACAGCATATATTACTAACATACACGCATTGCAATACCTGATACGATACATTCAGGTCATCTCAAAATTACGGGTAAATACCAATCACATTTACACTGAAGTAAACACGGCACGAAGAGGTAGTAATTGAGGTTAGATTTCATATAAAGTTTTGTAGAATTATTGATATATTTACTTTATTTGTTTTAACCTGTCAAAAAAAGTATTGTTACATCAACTCACACCATAAAACATCTGGTCTACCTGTCTGTGATGGGAATAAATACAGTATCTTACAACCTATTGTATACCGAGGTAACTACGACTAAATAGCTCTTAAAGCTTCAATGTTCTTTCCCGGAAATGTGAAGATTCTCTATCAACCTCAGCGTCAAGTAGTAAATCTCAAGAGGGTTGTCTGCAGGTCACGAAAATTCACTCTTTATTGTGATGACGGAATTATCTCCGGCTGCCTTAACCCACACTTGTAAACACATCCCTCCCGCTAGGAAACCTTATCAGGAAAGGGGGGACTGGTTTGACTAGGTTGCCTCATACCCTGCAACAACTGATCAACTGGAGGCTGTTGTGTTGTATCACGTCGCATGTACAGTACAAACACTTCAGATTCTCACTAGCCAAAAGTGTCTCATAAATAGTTTATTACATTATAATATGATTATTGTCTACGTGTATATTTGGTTCATTAAATTGGAACCCCAACAGTCAATATTCCATGTCTACAAGTAAAACTAATGTGATTTAACTTAAAATCTATGATATTTATAGTGAGTTAACTTGTAAGAACAATGTTAAACTTAATGCCGCCGTGCTCCCTCTAATCCAGTCTCTCCTGTCATAGATGGGCTACGCCAACCCTGAACAAATCAACGGTGGCATTCATGTGCGCCTGTTTTCGCGTGCCTTCGTCTTCGACGACACACAGCGACGAGTTGTGTTCGTCAGCCTCGACTGTGGCATGATGGCCTCCATCATCAAGATTAAGGTAAGTCAACGATACTCAACATTAAGGCAAGATGTGAGTCAAGAACAGGTAAGTCTATATTGTAAGTAATAAGGTAAGTCATGATGCGTGAATACTCAATAAAATACACCACAAGGGATCGTACATTACCTCTCTTAATGGGAATGTAATGAGCGCTGAAGAGCAGTTCCTTAACTCTCTGGTAGATTAATTGCAAAGAAGAAATTTTCCATTAACACTGCGATGTTCTAGCTGTTGCTTGCAGCTACACCAGGTGATGTTGAGTGCTTGATGCCTCGTGAGTGTTAACCACAAAATATTAACACAACATTCCAAGAGGCGGCGTTTTAGTTGGCCCCTCCAGCAAGGCCACTGGCACATTACTGAGTGCCTGCCTTACGTTATCAATTGTTTCTTTAAGCTCCATACTACCTGTCCCGCAGTAAATACTCGTGTTGGATGACTATGCATTTTAAAAACAAAATATATGGGCAAAGTGATACATTTCCGGAGTGGAAGTGAGTGAGGAAGTGAAGAACCAAAACCGAATGTCATCCCTCGTGCCGGACACTGACCCGCCTCAGTGTTCAACACACTGGCGACTCCCGGATCTTCTTACACCCACCGTGCTACTCACTACCATCACGCCACACACACTACACCCGACAACCCCCGAGAACACATCGCACCCCTCCCACACTACACCCACCACCATGTGGCAATACACACACGCTTTACCACCTGCCCACATACACACACATGTATACATACAACTTTTTACGACAGGTAGGGAACTCTAGGTGTAATAGCCGGACAACGAGGCGGCACCTACAGAAAGCACACTATAACGCAGATATAAAGCGTGCGAACACAGCTGCACCCCTCATCAAAGGCTTCTCCTATAAGACTGCAACAACGGCATTAACGTATAATACCCAAACATTAACAACATTATATTAAATGTAACTTGAGTTTGCGTTCTGAAAATTCGCCCAGGTTAAGTTTAAGATCGTTTCGGATACCTGGTTTGATATAAACGAGTGTGCCCACGTGCAGGAAATGGCATCCCTGTACCGGTGTTGAGAAATAAACTAAACTTCACCTGGGAGAGTGGGGTCACCTCACTCCTGGTTGTGTCCTCCTCCTGTCCACTCATTTCAAGTGCTAGTGAAGAATCTTAACCAGCTGCGCTATACATGTGTTTAATCAGCACTAAAACTCCTTAGAAATAAAGACGGCAGGGAAAGATCAGACGATTGCCGCTGTCAAATAAATTCACCGAGGCGTCCCCTTACAAAAGACAGAAGATTTGTGAAACAGGATGTTAGAAATTACTGAAGATTACTGTATATATGAAAAAAAAAACCAGTTCAGGATATCAAAATTAACACTGCAATGAGTAATAACCGAGTGACTATCTTCTACTCCCCCATCAACATGAGATATTAGGTCACGGCCATCACCGTAACTAGGCCATGATTACGTCACCACCCACGTCATCATCACCGTGGGCGGATTTCCTCTGCCAAAACATCCTCGAGTTGATTCAGGACTTTGTTTACAAATTTGTGACAGTAAGATAGAAAGCTTGGAGTTAATCATCTATTTTTACGAGTTTAAGTATGCAATTATATACAGTAGTGAGAGAAGATGCTCGTCTCTCTGTCTGTCCATCTGTCTTGAGAGAAGATGCTAGTCTCTCTGTCTGTCCATCTGTCTTGAGAGAAGATGCTAGTCTCTCTCTGTCTGTCCATCTGTCTTGAGAGAAGATGCTAGTCTCTCTCTGTCTGTCTATCTGTCTTTGTCTCACACAGTCACATATCTCTCCCCCCCCCCCTCCTCTCTCTCTCATTCATGTCGTGCAGCTAAATTCTTGTTAACATTCCTTGCTCCGCTATAGACGTCGTTGACCTTGTTGATCATGGGAAAACCGTCAGGCAGTTATTGATAATGTGTGTGTGTGTGTGTGTGTGTGTGTGTGTGTGTGTGTGTGTGTGTGTGTGTGTGTATGTAAGAGAAAGTGGGTGTGTGTGTGGGTGTGTAAGAGAAAGAGGGTGTGTGTGGGTGTGGTGGACTCGCCCCTACCCCTTGTGATCAACAGGTCCTGCTCTACATGATGAGGGGGGGCCAATGAACTAGCCACCCACCCCACCCACAACAGGTGGGTGGGGTGGGTGGGTGGGTTCCAAGATAATACAAAATGTGTTTGGCAGATTGTTGTAGTAATAGTTTACAACGAGTGTCACCCGTGAGACCGACGCTGATAATTACCTTGGAATTTTTTTTCCATGTTATACTTCACTGTTTGGGCTGTTGTTCTGCTGGTTAGGTTAGGTTAAGTTACATAACAGATTTTTAGAGATAATGTTCAAACCTAACCTATAATCAGAGTAGGAAAAGTGTCATAACTTATTAATGATAATACACTACAGTACTGCATATTAACTCATGCCATAAATATCATTAATTTATAAAACCACAGAACTAAACTACAATAGTTAAGTACTAATTTACAGAAGTTGCTAAATGCACACCTTATTTCCATGGGTGACAAGAAATAAAATATTTCTAAATGGATGTCTCTTAGAATATTTCGGGTGCATTTCAAGGCAAGTAAAGGACAGTAATTATCACAAGTAGGATGTCTCTTAGAATATTTCGGGTGCATTTCAAGGCAAGTAAAGGACAGTAATTATCACAAGTAGGAGTATACAATAAATAGACAGTATCACAGTACATATGAAATTATTCCACAAAATAGACTGAAATAATAATCTAATTGTCTTTTACAACAACTGAAGGAACAGTTAGAGCATAAAAATAATAAAAAATAAAATACAGTACAGTAATATGATTTTATATTCTCCATTAAGAGGAAAAAGCAGTACAATACAATACAGTTTTGTGCTCTTTTATCATGTTTAAAAAAATGACCGCATGGCAACAAGCAGAAGGTTCAAGTCCTGTTAGTTAACCGGTCAGGAATGGATTATATGGCCGTGAATATTGACTTTTTTTACACCCAAATGCTACACTTTTCTCGAGGCTAATCATTACGGGTCTTGAGAGAGAGAGAGTACTAGGATCAACAACTACCAGATTTAGGGCCAAGGTCACACGTAAGACGTTGGCCTCACAGGAGCACTTCGTTGTCGAATCTAAAAAAAAAACGAATGAAAAACTTTAAGGGGCTGACATCTACCGGACTAAAGGATGAACTATGAACTAAAAAAACTGTATCCATATGTATTCTTCCCGTATATATATCTCGCTGTATGTATCCTTTAATATAACACACGGGCGTCCCCTTGCCACTCTGGGGACACATTCAGGGGAAAGTGAAATAAATGTATGATTACTGCAGTGTGTGTGCACAGTCTCCAACACACTCCACACAGCCTCCAACACACAATCTACACCCCTCTGACTCTACTTTCTGAGGGAGAACTCATCATTGAGACATAACACGGCGTGATGACAGGCGGTGCTGGTGGCGACTGCGCTTGTATGAGTGGACCCGTGGAGACCGACCCACATACTGCACTGTACTGCCTCGCTGTTGCCGTCACCACACACCGCCTAGTTTGCTAACATTACTCCTATTAAGTTTCTGTGTTGCTAACATTACCCTTATCATTTGTTGTTTAGTTGCTATCGCCATGTTAATTTTTGCTAACAGTATACTCATGTTACTTTGTGATTAACGCTCGTCTATATGTTAATTAACGTTACCCTCATCATGTTAGTATATATGTTATTTCACTGGTGACGTTATCAAGTTGTCGGACTGGATGACACGACACTACACGTCACTCTTCACGAATGTCAGGGCCAGGACGCACACTGTTGGCTGGGTGGGTTCTGGCATGTTGGTTGGGTGGGTTCTGGCATGTTGGTTGGGTGGGTTCTGGCATGTTGGTTGGGTGGGTTCTGGCATGTTGGTTGGGTGGGTTCTGGCATGTTGGTTGGGTGGGTTCTGGCATGTTGGTTGGGTGGGTTCTGGCATGTTTGGGTGGGTTCTGACATGTTGGTTGGGTGGGTTCTGACATGTTGGTTGGGTGGGTTCTGACATGTTGGTTGGGTGGGTTCTGGCATGTTGGTTGGGTGGGTTCTGGCATGTTGGTTGGGTGGGTTCTGGCATCAGTGACTGGGTGGGCGGATCTGGGTACCGGGTTTTAAAGTCCTTGAATACGATGATTTAGCGCCATTAAGCACATTCAATTTGACTATTAAGTTACCTTAATTAGCCCTTGAGGACGATAACCTAACCCAATGAGAACATAATTATCGTACTCAACAGATTCGGTCACTGTACTCAAAGGATTCGGTCACTGTACTCAAGGGGTTAAGTCATCGTACTCAAGGGATTCTGTCACCGTACTCAAGGGGTCAAAAACATCGTAATTTCAATTGTTTGTACGTTATCTCTCTCTCTCACCTTCTTTCTGTTTGTTCCTCTCTGTCTACCCGTCCCTCTATCTCCGTCTGTCTGTCTGTCTCTCATCACACCTGTTCCTCCTGTTCACTTGCTGGGAATGAGGTCAGGTCGATGGACTGATTTGAAGGTATATTAATAGTCAGGTTACAACAGTTAAAAGGTAATGGAGAGAGAGAGAGAGAGAGAGAGAGAGAGAGAGAGAGAGAGAGAGAGAGAGAGAGAGAGAGAGAGAGAGAGAGAGAGATTTAATTTATCGATTAAACAACGAAAACACAATGGAGTTGGGTAAGGTAAGGCAAGGTGAAGCGAGGTGTGGTTAGGTTAGGTTAGATTTTTATACCATGATGTAAAATAGAGAGATGAAAGCTACAGTCTTATAATTGTTAAGTTTTATCATAATCTAAATGACTCGGTGAAAACCTAAACGAAGAACCAGGACAAGTGCGGTGATGAAGCTGAAATGTCGCAGCTGCTTGTCCCACCCAAACCAATTGAACCCGCCCATGCACCCAAGTCGGCCGGGTTCACCTCTGACATTCTGTGGTCACCAAGGCCGTAACACCCACTCCCTCCCCTCCACCGT